AGTACAGTCGGGTTCGTTCTCGACTGTCGCTCTGTAGTACAGTCGGGTTCGTTCTCGACTGTCGCTCTGTAGTACAGTCGGGTTCGTTCTCGACTGTCGCTCTGTAGTACAGTCGGGTTCGTTCTCGACTGTCGCTCTGTAGTACAGTCGGGTTCGTTCTCGACTGTCGCTCTGTAGTACAGTCGGGTTCGTTCTCGACTCTCAATTGAAAATTTCCGGTTTCGAATCCCGGGCTGGAAAGAAATGGTTTGGAGCATTTCCTATCACCTAATGCCTCTGTTCACCTAGCACTCGGTAGGTGAACAGAGGATTAGGAAGTACCCAGGATTATTAGCTTGTTCGTCGAGCCTGGCCCCGGGCCGGGCTCGGGGAGTTGATGAATTCTGGAAACCCTCCCAAGGTACGGTCCAGGTACGCGCTCATCGCATGACTTTGTTTTTATTGTAACCCAAAGGACGATCTTATTGGGCAGCATCACTAATGCTGTGAGTGAACATAGCAGCATGCCCTTTACCCCACAATAGAGATTAACATTTAACATCTCTTTAACTTACGTTATCTCGCGGTTGCAAAATGGAGAAAACGTTTAAGAACAGCATATGACAGTTTTCCTAACTCAAACAAACGTGGTGTTTATGATGACTGCACATGCTTCTAACGTCTCTTATATGGGCACTCTCTCAGGTAGTGACCAGACAATGTCCTTCACTCATGCTGCACATTCTGTTATTCCGCTGCTCAACTGTCTTTTCCATCCTCAATCTTGGTGGGAATTTGTGTCCAAGACGAATTCTCGCCATTAAAGATTCTCTCGCTCAGCCACCTCATTTTCGCAAACAATTGAGGGTGTTAGCTGTAACTGCCTTGTTCCAGCACACATAAGTGACATGTTCTTCTGTCCCCTGGTTACCTTGTCACGATGCTCTTGCCTCATGACACCACTAATTTGTAGAAGTTTTTGGTGTGAAGTATTGAGTATGGTCGGCGGCGCCCTCAGCAGCCAACGTATATACATGTTCATTTCCAGATTCCTACACAAGAGGAAATATACTTACCGGATGTGTTGAACGTCGAACAATTCTGGGCAGGCGCTATTTGGGGTTTTGGTAGTACAGTCGAGTTCGTTCACGACTCACAATCGGAGATTTTGGGTTCGAAAGGCGAGTTCACCTTCCTCAACATGGGCCAGTCCACACGCCGTATTGTCACGATGTCTCAACAACCCCCATCCACTCTCTAGAAACACACTGGCAGAGGGCTTCAGCAGCACGCTGACAGGGGTCTCAATCACGTACAGGGGTAGCCAACACCCTGACAGAAGTCTCTAGCAACACACCAGCAGCACTTCTCAACAGACGCACTACTGTCGCATCGTAACTCTTCTTGGCCAAATCCCGGGTACGTTGGTCCATACAACACTGCATATATCCAGCAGCTGACACGCTGCTACTACCGACGACGGCCACTTTGTCCTCTCACAAGACCAAGTGAAGAGTCCTGGACTGCGCAAGGTGAACTACTCTCCTCAGCGCAATCACCTCCTTACGTCACCTCTGTGAGCATAAAACGTTATTCGCTAGACAGACAGTATACTGGGTGACCTTAGGATAACACGCTTCCACCGGGGAATTGAAATTATAATTGCTTGCACAACCTAGATGGCGTTGATATCGTTACGCCACCCACCAGAGGTCATCATCATTGACCTCGCCCTCTAACTGAGGTATGAAACAGTAGCCTTTCCCGACGCCACACCACCGCCAACAGATGGCGTTGTCTGCATCTACTCTAATACCAGGGAGTTGGAGTGCAGGTCCATAGATGGCGCAGAAATCGCCACTCCCCACTCCGGCAACGGTGTCGATACCGTAACAGGTACCTGGGTACCGTAACAGGTACCTGGGTACCGTAACAGGTACCCAGGTACCGTAACAGGTGGGGGGAGGGGGGTCAATATAAGCCTAACATGAATATACTCACTGGCTGCCTGTCGACGACACAATGAATTATTATTATAATTATTGTTTAAATTTCCGTTGTGAAGGACATGAACCCTGTTGTTAGGCTTATTGAGGCCAACAAGTGACCTTCCCCAGGATGCAACCCTGAAGATTTGTCTAGCTCCAAGGCACCTGTTTACTACTAGGTGAACAGAGATATCAGGTAAAAAGAAACTTGCATAACCATTTCTGTCCTGCCCGGGGATGGAAACCGGGTCCTCTAATTGTAAACAGAGGCCATAGACGACTGCGCTACAGACCAGTTTGGGTGAATGTAAGCAATAAACTGACAACAATAACAAAACACAAGAGAGAGAGAGAGAGAGCAACAAGCAACAAGTGGAATATACTGAAAGAAGAAGCGTAGAAACCACCTCACTCCACAACCTTAAGACCAGAGTCGACTAAGAATTTGATCATCGGAATAGTTAAGGTGTAAGGCGACGGGTACACAAAGGGTAGTAGGCGGAGCATAAAGATCTATCCCTCACTGTCCGTAGCTAGTGACCGGCAAGTACTGACAGGTCCTCAGCACCACCGCTCCTGTCAAGTAAGTCCACTACGGGCTCACCATAGCCCGTGCTACTTGGAACTTGTTGTGAGTAGCTGAATCTATAGTAGTAGTAGGCATCCATCAGTCTCAGGAGACTATGGAGTTGCGCTCTGGTTGTCGGTCAGGAGTGGCCTCTCCAGGGCGCTAAGTCAGGGTAGGTTGATACGGGGGAGAAGCTGTTACACAGGCAGCAGGTCCCCCCTCTCCACGGCGCTGAAAGTCTCCAATGGAAAGGCATACGCCACTACGATTGGTTCCAGCGCCGTCGCAGGAACTGTGAGTTCCGGGGTTGACCTCGAAGGTGGTGAAGAAGGGCACAGGGACCTCCAACCCCGGACACAGCCAGCTGAATCTCTAACAACAACAATAACAACGTACTGACAGGTCAGTAGCAAGGGGAGGGACACCCCTGCCCTCGCTACTGACCTTGGAGCTGTCCCAAGGTGTATGGAGGAGAGGCCAGGATATTGTTGATCACGCCTGATGAACATCTGACACTTGTTGCTACTAGGGAGGCTGGCCCAGCCGGTAGGTTGGGGAGGGCCACCACTGTTTGTTGCTGGTGAGATGGTGGAGAGATGTTGGTGGTGAGTGGTGGTGGAGAGATGTTGGTGGTGAGTGGTGGTGGAGAGAGATGATTTTTGTGCTGGAGAGATGTTGGTGGTGAGTGGTGGTGGAGAGATGTTGGTGGTGAGTGGTGGTGGAGAGATGTTGGTGGTGAGTGGTGGTGGAGAGATGTTGGTGGTGAGTGGTGGTGGAGAGAGATGATTTTTGTCTTCCACAAACGTGGCCAACATTGACAAAGCTAACCAGCATATATACATTTTCTTCTGTCCTCCATGGGCAGGGCTAAATATCTGTTAAACATATAGTTATGTGATTTATTGAACAATTAACCACAGAAAGTAATTGTAGTGCTTTTAAAACGCTAACCTAACCTAACCTACATACATAAATACACAGACTTACGTCTTTCATATATAAACAGTGTTCGAGGTGTCTTTTAACTTAGTGTCATTAATGTGCGTTTACAAAGGTGAAATGCAATTCTGACCCGCTTGTCCATAGCCTGTACACACACACACCAGTACCCTAGCATGCAGTGCTGCTATGAAATTCAAATATCGCGAAACGCAAAAATATACGCTGGAAAGCCCAGAGGTTTGTAACTAGAGTAGTACCAGAACTGACAAGACTAAACTGTGAAGACAGTTTTGGAAAATTATTGTACCTGGGGACGGGAATCAACTGGTGGAATGCACTGAGAGAACTAGTCGAAGTCACTGCCATCCACAACATGAAGAACAGATAGAAGATAGAACAACTATCAACGACTTAAAAAATAGTAGAATACAGAACAACCATCCACAACTTCAAGAGCACAAAACGTTTAAATCAGGACCGACTTCCCCGCGCCAGAAACAGACTTAAGAAGCTGGGTATAGACTGCTATAGACAGTTAGATTTCACTTACCTCTTTACTACCACTGCGACCATGGCTCCTACCATTATTACATGGTACTTGCCACCATTACCATGATTCAGTTTCGACATTAACGACCTCAGCGTCAAAATTCTGCATTCTCGTTTTATTTAGGCTTTTGTGGGACAAGTAAGCATAGGCTACATGAGGTTGCGAGGCTAACTAGCTACCAACGACATATTGTCTTCTCCCGAGGTGTTGATACTAATTAACGAGCCACCTAACCCCTGGCAGGCGAGGAGTCACAATAACGTGGCTGAAGTATGTTGACCAGACCACACACTACAAGTTGAAGGGACGACGACGACGTTTCGGTCCGTCCTGGACCATTCTCAAGTCGACTGTGACGTTGAAGACCCTTCAACTTGTAGTGTGTGGTCTGGTCAACACCTAACCCCCTTGTTATCCACACTACTGACCGGAAGGTGAGGTGTGGCCCTCCTGGCACTTGTGGGGGAAATATGTCAGTGCCTGAGGCTGCTAGTGTTGGTATGCAAGATGGCATCAGGGTCTACCCGGCCCCCCACACCACGTCTCTCATGGACGCCACATCCTATTGTAATTCAGTATTATACGCACAACAATATTAATATGAGGGTATACTTATGCGGTGTAAATAATTATACCCCCCATATATCATGCCGGTAATATATGAGCGTGGATTTCTTAATTACGCGATTACGAAAAAAGTTTGATAAATGGCAATCGTGCCGTTAGTGGGTTTAAGAGTCGTGTGATATATATATCAACACTACTACTAAACGCCTCCACTGGGTTTTTGCAGCGTGGAAAAAAAGGAATTTACCACACGCCTCGTAAGAAAATAAGAAAAATAACAAGGAAAAGAACATTGTGGAAGGGAAGATATGGCAGGTGTAAGATAGAGCTAAAGACTAAATGGCAACTGAGAGGCTGCTAGGCTGGGGTCCATTGACCGCTTGCCTCAGTAACACACTGGCTGCCGGCGTGGGTAGACGCTGCTCGCGCTCTCCTCTCTTTTCCTCGGAATTGGGGTTCCTGTCCCTGATAGTGCTGGAAGTTGATGTTTGGGCAAGAATATAAGGTGTTAGTATCGTGTGTGTAACGTCCCAGTACGAGTGTAGTGGTATCCACAGACACATACAAGTGGAGCATAGCTAAAAAAAACTTCATCTTGGTGTAAACCCATGTATATGTATATAATTACACATACGTGACTAAATATGGATTCAAGAAATTGATAGAATTGAAGACCAGCAGTTGAAGGTAAGTCCGTGTGACTTTTAGTGTATGCATATGTGTGATGATTGCTTCATATGATAGAGGTGTTGCAAGCTGCACACGTACCTATAATACATTCAACAAATGGTCATTTTCATTTCCATGAGCTGGTCGCTGTGATGTGGAGAATATAAGTGTGTTTTGGGAGGGTTTAAGGTCAACTGCTTTGCTGTTAGAGAAAGTTGAGTCTGGAGTCGTAATCACAGCTACTAATGCTTAAGGAGACCTTCACACTTTTTCATATACGCATTTTTTGGATCTTTTCTAAAAGAGGATTTATACTTGACATTCCTTAAGTTTATTATTACACAAAATTTTTAGTAAATATGATTACAAAATTAACCACCTGTGTAAAGCAACTTTTAAGGGGCCTTCACTCGCTCTTTTGCAGTATTTTCCATTTTTTTCATTAACAAGCATTTCATTAACAGCAATGTCCTGTTACCTTATTCTATATGAAAGATTACAATAATCTTGGTTTGGACCGTTTTTATATGAGGGGCTTATTCATAAGTTATAGTTTAGTTCATTTATTATGCACCCCATACTCATCCTGTGCGCGGTAGTGGAAAGGGTTACAGAGGCACATAATGGGCTCAGGGACTGAACCCCATAATTCATTTAGCTAAGCAAGTTACAATCTTGATGAGCTAGTTACAAAATTCAATGCTTATCGTCACATCAACAATGTGCTCCAGACCGACTCAAGTTCAGTTTCTAAATTAAGCGACTGACATATGTGGAGAGCTAGTGTCACAATTGATATATTTATCCTGCACTCCCCCCCCTCCCATCCAGTGGACAGTGGTGGATAGGTTACAATCATTCGGTTACTACCTGTAGTTAGCAAACTGGGGATAGTTTGCTAAAATTTCTGGTAGCAGATCATTTTGAATGAAATATTTACACATCTCTGGAACATTTGTTATATAATTGTCTCTAAATTCACGTATCTTTTCGCACTCCATCACATAGTGACGGAGGGTGTGCGAATAATTTTGTTGACACAGTTTACATTTGGTCAGGTCTACATTAGCAGATAATGAAAATTCCCAGAGATACTTATAATCGAGTCTAAGCCGAGCAGTAGTAATATTTTATTGGATGATCCATAGATGTGTGGCTCTTCTTGCATGATAGTATGATAGATGGAATTACTGGTGTCGATGTCACTTTGCCTCAGATCTACAAGATTTTGTTGAAGTTCTTGGGGCCTATTGCTCTCAGATTGCTTATTGACAATCCAAGGTTATACTCAATTTCTCCTTTAAAGGCAGATTCTTTGGCTAACTTATCAGCTCTATCATGCATTCGGAGGCCAACATGAGGTGAAGTCCACATACAATGGACTCTATTACCATCGTTAATAATTTTGTTGTATTTGTGTCTAGCTTCAGACACGAGCATGTTACAGTTATGTCTTAAAGAGTTGAGAGCAATTAAGGAAGGTAATGAGTCACAATTAATGTATCAAGTTTGGAGACTTATTTGAGTGCAAGAAGCAAGGCACATAGTTCGGGCTGAAGGGTAGAGGCCCAGTTGTTTAAACGGACTCAATATATAAGCCAAGCAGTCATTGTCAGGACAACTGCACTTCCAGCTGCACCAGTGTTGAGAACCATCAGTGTATATGATTTGAGAGAGAAAATGCTCTCTCTCGTGTCTGGCGCCACGTGCTAGGGGCCGCCATGTGTTAGGGGGCGGCCACGTGCTAGGGGGCGGCCACGTGCTAGGGGGCGGCACGTGCTAGGGGGCGCCACGTGCTAGGGGGCGCCACGTGCTAGGGGGCGCCACGTGCTAGGGGGGGCGCCATCGTCACAAACCGGAAGTAATATAGTAAGCTTCTCCAACGTGTTCCGGTTCAGTACAGATTTCCATGCCTCGCTTTTGTTTGCTTTCTTTTTAATTTGTACTTATTAAATTCTTGATTCGCTTTAATTTCTTTTGTATTATTAATAGTGGTGATTTATCAGCATTTAATATCACATTGAGTTTGATTATCGAAATAATTATAATTCACATATGAATGGAAATCGTATAACTTGTTGCACGCTGCTCAGATGCTGTTAACTTGTTGCACGCTGCTCATATGCTGTTAACTTGTTGCACGCTGCTCATATGCTGTTAACTTGTTGCACGCTGCTCATATGCTGTTAACTTGTTGCACGCTGCTCATATGCTGTTAACTTGTTGCACGCTGCTCATATGCTGTTAACTTGTTGCACGCTGCTCAGATGCTGTTAACTTGTTGCACGCTGCTCAGATGCTGTTAACTTGTTGCACGCTGCTCAGATGCTCTTAAAAACATTGCATTATTCAGTATTAAAAAAATAACATAAAATTAATGTTGTTGTTTAAGATTCGCTACCTGGAACAAAAAGTCCCAAGTAGCACGGGCTATGGTGAGCCCGTAGTGAACCTTAAGGAAAAGTTGGTGGAAACTAGAATGTGTTCGAACTGTCGTCTTTAGCGTGTATATTATAATACGTTCTTTATTTGTACATTGTAGTTTTTCGTCCGTGTGAAACAAAAATATATTGTACTTATGAAGGTGGTCAAGTTCAGCATGCCCGAGGCGCCAGTAACCCTAGCGGCCGATCTTGGGGAAATTGTAAGTCAAAATGCGACTTACTATTAAGGAGAACGGGCCTAACAAAGCCTAATAAACTGGCTCTATCTAGCCTAATGAAGTGGCTCTATGTAGCCTAATAAACTGGCTCTATCTAGCCTAATAAACTGGCTCTTTCTACCCTAATAAACTATCTAGCCTAATAAACTGGCTCTATCTAGCCTAATAAACTGGCTCTATGTAGCCTAATAAACTGGCTCTATCTAGCCTAATAAACTGGCTCTATCTAGCCTAATGAAGTGGCTCTATGTAGCCTAATAAACTGGCTCTATCTAGCCTAATAAACTGGCTCTATCTAGCCTAATAAACTGGCTCTATCTAGCCTAATAAACTGGCTCTATCTAGCCTAATAAACTGGCTCTATCTAGCCTAATAAACTGGCTCTATCTAGCCTAATAAACTGGCTCTATCTAGCCTAATAAACTGGCTCTATCTAGCCTAATAAACTGGCTCTATCTAGCCTAATAAACTGGCTCTATCTAGCCGAATAATGTGGCTCTATCTAGCCTAATAAACTGGATCTTCCCAGTCTTATGTGTTAGCAGTTTGTGTGCTAGTCACACTCCCAGCTGGCCGACACTGGACATGACTGCCCATCTTCTAGGCGCTGCCTCCACCCACAACTTTAAGGCCAGATTCGACAAGGCATTAGAACGTGAGAATAGTTAAAACATGACGCAACAGGTACAACAAGGCCAGTAAACGGGGGGAAGGGGTGTGATGGACACAGAGAGACGGCACCACTCCCGTGCCAGGTAAGTCCACTATGGGCTCACCATAGCCCGTGCTACTTGGAACCTGTTCCGAGTAGCTGAATCTATAACAACAACGTGTGATGTTATACTGCACCTCACTCCCCTGTTGTCACTGTTAGGCAGGCACACTCCTAGAAGAGATTAGATGAGATTCACTTCTGGGACCTCTCACTAGTCCCAGAAGTGAGAGGTATGAGCTACGTGGAAAGGCTATGGGAGCTGAACCTCACGTCCCTGGAGGACATTAGAGTAAGAGGGAGGGAGGGAATTATCAGGAGAAAGCGCCAAGCCATTACGACTATATAGCACTGGGAAGGGGTCAGGATTTGGGATGGGACGGGGGAAAGGAATGGTGCCCAACCACTTGTGGACGGTCGGGGATTGAACGCCAACCTTAGAGTAAGGGAGAGACATGATAACCACCTACAAAATTCTCAGGGGAATTGACAGGGTGGATAAAGAATAGAACCAGTGAAGAGCAGGGGTGCCATAGGCATTATCGTAGAACACTGTATAAACATCAGAGGTCCACGGTTGTTCAACATTCTCCTAGCAAGTATAAGAAATTTTGCCGGAACAACCGTGAACATCTTCACGGTCGAGGACCGGGCCGCGGGGACACTAAAGCCCCGAAATCATCTCAAGATAGTCTCAGGAGGATGTTACAGCTGTCTGTAGACGTGTAGCCGGGCCTATGGACTGGCTGGCTGGTGCATCGGAGGTCGACATTCAACCCTCGATGGTGCAAGTGGTTGGGCACCATTCTCGCCCAGATTTCTCTCCTGATATTGTTTTAGATTCAGCTACTGAGAACAAAGAGTTCCTAGCAGCACGGGCTATGGTGATCCCGTCGTACTTACCTGGCACAGGAGATGTACCTTGTCCTGATATTCTTCCACGGGCTATATAGTCGTACTGGCTTAGCGCTTTCCCCTAGTAATTATCTTACCTCACCTAACAGTAAAATAGGTACCTGGGAGTGAGGTAACTATTGCGGGTTGCATCCTGGGAAAGGTCATTTGGACGAGGGACTCTCCATATGCTTCTTGAGGTTATCTTGAGATGATTTCGGGGCTTTTAATGTCCCCGCGGCCCGGTCCTCGACCAGGCCTCCACCCCCAGGAAGCAGCCCGTGACATCTGACTAACACCCAGGTACCTAATTTACTGCTAGGTAACAGGGGCATAGGGTGAAAGAAACTGCCCATGATTTCTCGCCGGCGCCTGGGATCGAACCCAGGACCACAGGATCACAAGTCCAGCGTGCTGTCCGCTCGGCCGACCGGCTCCCTCCTTAACAGACTTACAGCCCTCAACACTGGGAAAGCAACCAGCCGTTCCCTTCAATTCCAGCTGAAGATGAAGGTAGCTTCCTTGCAGTCTGATCAAACCCGGATGTTGACATTCGCAGAGCCCTGCCGGCTGGACCTGCCTTTCCAGACCGGCTTGCCTATTGGGGGTGTGGAAACCCTTTATACACGGAGTAAAACCTTGCATTTTATATGTAGCTTAACGTTTTGTTACATTAATATTAGATGAACGTATTATAGAACCACTAGAAGTGATGTAGTTACGGCCATTCTTGCTGCTAGCGATCATAAA